GAACTTTATAGTTTAGTATTGCTTTACTTTGCTTCTGCTCTTCATCTCGCCAAGCAGTTACCACCACGGTCAGTGATAGCTGACCACTACAGAAGTGCAATTGTGAAACAGCAATTACCCTAGCAGACTTTCGCAAGTTTAAATCAAAATGGTTATTGATATTGGCCACTTTTTTTCATATATATCTGTGTAGTTTAAGATGCTGAGGTTTGACAGCTGTATCACTAGCCTGAGAGTTTGTTGTTGTCTCTGCCATGGAGTGTATTTTAAAAATACCCATGCAGGTTGCATTGTTTGAATCAGCACAATGTAACAATGCTTTACACATGTTGGTTTTGTTCTTTCACCATTTTTTCCTTTTTTTTTTTTTTTCTTTTTTGACCATATTGTAGTTCTCGGCTTCTGTCACTCTCCTGGTCCTCAGTTTTGTCTGAAAGCCAGGAGGACTGATTCAGAGGGACACACACTCATTGTTCGTGATACTCTGCAATGGAGCTGAGTTTTTCGATGTGTGCTACAAGTGTGTGTGTTCTTAGGTGTTACTAGGAAGTAACGCGTGGGAGAGTGATATTGCTTATTATCATAGTTTTCATTTTGTGTTGCTGTCATTTCCTGTGGAAACAGTGACTTCTGATTTTTTACTGTAGTCCAACACAATGCACTGTACAGTCTAAGCTGGATTTTTCCATCCAAGCACACAGTACCTCACCATCGTGCTAGCTGCAGTGTAACAGTAGCATCCCATCGACTCGCATCTTTACCTGTTTCAGGGGCTTTTAACAATTCTAAATACTGGAACTGATATTTCCCAGTAGAAATGCTATTACAATGCAGCCACCCTTTCCCACTGGAAGATATCCCAAGATAGTCATCTGATTCCACAAAAATAATTTGATCTTTGTTCACAGCAGAGCCCAAACCATGTCCTTACATGCTTATGACACTTCTGTTTCATAACCCAGTGACCTGACACATATAGATCTTATAACTGATGGTGTCACTTTGCTGGATGGCCTCCGAAGAGCCGTGCTGGCAGGCTGCCAAAGCACATGCTGGCCATAAAAGGGCTCCTTTGGACCATAGCTGAGCTAATTTTCGTCTGAGACCAAGCATGGACGTAGAAGGCATGAGTTTTCCAGTGCAGATGTTTCTCCAGTGCAGGCTGGAGATCATGTCACAGCAGGCTTGTGGGACCAGGTTGAACTGGTTTGATGTTCAGCATGAGAAGATACCTACGTTAAAGGACCCCAGAGGAAATTCCTGCTTGTTGGCACTGAATCATCTCCAGTTCTTAGAAAGCTGGAGTGAAATGTGGGTTTAATGGGCATGGAGGAAGATACACATATGGTTTTCCCACTGAAGCTGTTAGCCCTGCATAGGATTTCTGATTCTCCTTGAAGGCTGGACCTAGTTAAGAGATTCCTAAATCTGTGTCTACTCTCAGACGGTTTGGTGAGCCTGTCATTTCAGAGCAGGAGTGAAGTTTGGTGCTTTCAGAGCCAGCAGTTCTCAGATGTCTCCTTCACCTAACTTGCCTGTGGGTTCACTCTGAAGGAGGTAGGGAATTGTCATCTCCGTTACCTGGTTAAAAAGCTGTAAGATACCAAGAAGATCTTTAATACAAACCAATGCCAAACAATGTTTAGGAATTTTTTTTTAATAGTGCCAACATGGCAACAGGAGAAAAGATGCCGAGCATCTTAGTGGCATTTATGTCATTCTCCTCTAGACACAGGGGCCATGGTTCTACTTTAGGCTTGAAGAAACTAGGTGAAAATAATTACTACTGAAATCTGTTGTTTGCCTGTGTTTTCACTGATAAGTGTCCTTCTTGGTGGCAGCAGTAAAGGTTAATGTAAGCACTCACAGAGGAGCATCCCCTCCCAATGAAGAGATGTGTGGGAATGGCCAAAGCTGGTGATACCACTAAGCAGTAAATCTTACTGCATTACAAAAAGCTTTTCATCAATTTCTGGTGATGATATTAAGGAATAGGAGGGAAAAAAAAGAAAAGGAAATAAAGGAAATAGCTCTCTGAGGTGCAATTTGTTCTGCGGGTGCTTTTAAAGTCTTGGGACATAATACAAAGGTACTTCTGTACACAGCACAGGAGACATGACATTCCCTGGAGGAATGAGGCATAAGGTTTTCTCATCTGCTTTTGAAATCACCCTAAAATCCTGCTTGCACTTCATTCAGCCAAACCCAGGAGGTGTGGGCCTGATCCTGCCAGCACTTGGTGCGCACAGATCACATTTTTCCAGTGGCAGGAGTCCTGAGCAGTGTGATCCTTACAGGGAACTTCAGCAGAGATCCAGTCTTAAGGATCTTAAGGATCGAGTTACTCATTGGCAGGATTCGGCCTTCTGATGGGAAAAGTTTGCTTTGGTTTTGAAGCCAGGAAGAATGAGCCAAGACAGATTCCCAGCAGCGTGGTGCCAGCTGCCAGCTGCACGCAGTGGCAGCACCGCAGCAAGTACGGGTACAGTTTGTAGAATTCACACTGAGGACACACGGAGAAACAGATCAGGAACTTTCCTTATCTGTTCATTTCAGGGTTGGACTGAGAATTATGATCAGAAGGTAAAATTAAGCAGGTGCGTTTTAAAGTTGGCAGAGGAACTGGCTGGTATCCGTTCATTCTGGGCTCTGCGCACTGAGCTGCATCTGTGCGCACTGAGCTGCATCTGGGAATTACCTGAGCTTCCCGGGACAAGAGAGAGGTGCAGGACAGACTGAGACCTGTTTACTCCAAAGGCAGCTATGGACTTAAGCAGCTTCATTACTTTGATTTTTTTTTTTTTTAATTTGCATTGGGAAGTACTGATTCACTGGAAGAAGTATTTACAAGATTTATTGCAAAGCTCTTACTCCCCAAACTGGTTCCTTTTGCACATATTCATTTTTTCAAAAAAATTCTTACATTATTTAAGAACATGCCAGTAATGCACAGTTACAGGGTCAGTGAGATTTAACATTTTGAATTGTAATTGGTGTATAAGCATGTAATTTATGTAAGCATGAAATATCCCTGTGTGATTCTGAAATTGCATTTCAAAATCTTAAATATAAAACAAATTCTGCTGAATTTGGATGTATTTACTTTTGTGACAATAAAGCATGGAAACAAAAGTTGAAACTTCTTTAAAATAAAAATTGAGTTTCAACCAGATTTAATATGACATAGTAAAAACTAGTCCTTGTGCCAAAAAACTTGAGCCATGAATGCAGATAACAAACCTAAGAAGTTAACAGAAAGGCATGAAGATGAAATAAAAAGACAAACATCTTTACGTAGAAGTCAGGGATCTGTGACACTAGTACAGGACAGCACTGTCCAAAAATTGACTTTCTGAATGTTTTCCTGAGGCATTTTCAGCTGTGAGGCTGATTGATTATTTATATAGGTGATGTCGGTACTAGTAGAAACTCCCTGCCTTTTCAGTAAAACTCTGTGAAACGCAACCGCGTGCAGTTTGGGACCTGCCAGCACTCCCAGTTTCACTGCTGATCCAAAGAACAACTATTTTTCTTTAAAAGGACTAAAACACTTGACATGTTCAGACTGGCCATGAGGAAGCATTTCTTTACTGAGAGGGTGGTCAAACACTGGAACAGGCTTCCTTGAGAGGTGGTCGATGCCCCAAGCCTGTCAGTGTTTAAGAGGCATTTGGACAATGTCCTTAACAACATGCTTTAACTTCTGTCAGGCAGTTGGAGTAGATGATCATTGTACGTCCTTTCCAGCTGAAATAGTTCTATTCTATTCTATTCTATTCTATTCTATTCTATTCTATTCTATTCTATTCTATTCTATTCTATTCTATTCTATGAAGGAAAGAAAGACAGACATTTAGCTCCTGCACCTCTTCAAGCTCATGCTGGTACGATTTAAGAGTGACTGAGGGGGTGGGGAGTTAAGTATCAGGCAGCGGAGAAGAGTCTGGACATCTTGTTGATGAAAGCGTGGGCTGGCTCATGCCTCCACCCAGCCTGTTTCCTGCTTGGTAAACAGGACCGTAC